TCCCTCATGAGCCCTAGGGCTTCTTAATAACTGCAAACCAATGCTTAGAAAGCACACCATCCTGCACTTTCATGTGCTTATAAGTGATCAAAGCAGACGGACCTAAGTAGACAGATGAACAACCTAACACTTCTTCATCATGCAGAAGAGATCATGAGTAGACCTGTTTGCAATAACTTTAGTTGCATACCCGTGATCACGCACTTGTTAAAAGGTAAAAAGTTGGAATCCAAATCAAGGAAATTAGAAGGAAATAATCCAAGCCTCATTTTCTGGGTAGGACTCATTGTTCATAGACTTTTGGAGCCTTTTACATTCCATGGACAGCAGGGGGCATACTTTCTTTTCTGATCTTTTTCCCTCCGGAGCTGGTCTAGACATGTGTTGCACTCTGCTGATGTGTCCACATGTGTAAAACACAATTTTGGAAATCCGTAAATGCTTTGGATTCCTGAAGGGTGAAATGCAATAATGATTTTACGTATTTAAAATGTTTTCACATTTACTACATAAATGATGCATTTACAATTCCAATAAAAACAATTTGGAAAGCAGGAGTCAACTAGATAGCTAAAATGAAACCACCCAAAGTACAGTAGTTTCAAATTCCACTCCCCCTGTCTCATTTGGAGATTTATTTGAAAGATCAATCATCATGAATTTTGCAGCTGGCTCCGTGACGGAGCCCAGTGGCGTAGCGGGTTACCTGCTGGGCTGGAAGCCCCAAGGTCATTGTTCAAACCAGCAACGTGCCCAGGACAAAGGTGAGGCTTTCTACTCCTGGAAAGAGTTATAGTTTGGGAAACTCACAGGCACAGCTCTTGTCTGTCCGGCAGGGTCACTGTGAGTCTGAATGGGCTCAAGGGCAGGGAGGGTTTTGTTGTTGTTGTGATGTATGTGTATGGCTTTAAATGTTTCAGTTCATCATGGTGTGTTATTAAGTACCTATTGGATGGCCATTCAAGCTAATGGTGATCTCAGGTGTCAGGGTAGAATGTGCTCCACAGAGTTTTAACCCCTGGGCTTTAGGGGTTTCCTTGGAGAAACTTTTGAACCTCCGACATTTTGTTTAGCAGCCAAGCATGTTAACCATTTGTACTGCTCAGAGGCCCCAACACACTATCCTTTTTAAAATTTTTCTAGAAGACACTGATGCTGAAATTTTAAGTTAATAAGGAATACCCCCCCCCCCACAAACTTGCTAATTCTGACTCACACTGACCAAATAGGACACAGTAGAACTGCCCTTTTGGGTTTCTGAGTTGTATATCTGTACAAGAGTAGAAAGCCTCATCTTTCTCCAGTGGACTGACTGGTGGTTTCAAACTGCTGACCTTGTCATTAGCTCAACACACAACCCACTACACTACTGGGAGCCAGCATTTACACTGCATTCTTAACTGTTGCCCTCCATAGCTTCTCAGGAATGCTATCGACACTTCTCAAATCTGAACAAATTGTCTCAAAAGCATACACACTTTGTATGTAGTAGGTTGGTAATAGCTATAGTACTATCAACTCTGATTTAACATACACAGGGTGACTGCTTCATCTTAGATTTATTCTTCATTTTGTTCCCTTGTCTGAAAGAAGAGCAGGTGATAATTTCTTCCTACAGAGAAAATTGCAGATCTAAAATGATTTCCTGTCTCAGGGTATTTTCTTCCTTTTTAAAAAAATTAACATTCTAAGATTTTACAGCTTACCCAAAATAGTGTTGTGTTAATGAACCCAGAGTTTATTAACCTTTACTCAAAAGCCACATTAATTCATTTAGAACCGTTTTTGTGATGGATTCAGTCCATTTTAAAAATAGGGTCATAAGCTCTTTTAAAATCACTTAGGACTGGAGGAGATCTTGTTTGTGACGTGGTGTGTCTTCACGTCGGGCCAGCATCTGACCACTCTGAAGATAGGCGTTTGCTGGCGGCAGTCAGTGTGACCTCCTCCTGTTTTCCCTCTAAGGGCCTCCCATGGAAATTCTTGAAAAATAAAGCAACATTTCAGCCCACACTTTAATGAGTGGACTGGAATCTCTGGGCCCTTAGATAGCTCAGTAATGACTCATAGAATTGTCTAGCCCGAGCTTTCCTAACATTTTCCATTCATCGCAAGTTATTTCTTCATCTGCTGCTGCTGCTCAAAAGCACTTTTTTGTGTTTGCCAGCTGAAAAACTTGAAATAAATCAGACCTATAGCTCCAAATCTGAGTGCTCGGCCTGAGCTGTGTAATGCAGCCTGGTGACCGGGCTTTGGCAGGAG